GCATGTAGGATGAGTGTCTGTGTGTGCACGAGAGTATGACGAGGGCACGTGTGTGGAACCAGTGACTGTGCCCGCCCGCATGTGGGACGAGCGTCTGTGTGTGCAAGTATGTCCCTGCCCAGGAGTCTCACCTTCCGGATGTGTCACAGTGTCTGGCTCCATGTCTTGGTGGTTTCAGAAAGGGAGGATGAGCAAAGAACAAAGAATCAGGTTGGGATTCCTACAGGCACAATTTCTGTGAAATAATTTTGCAAAAAGAAATCAACCAGACAAGAGAAAGGTGATTTGAGGGCAGGGATTCTGAGTCAGCAATGACTTGAAGGAGTTGCCATCTGAATTCAGGTGTGACTCAGAGGCACAGAGTGACAGCCTCCAGGCCCACTGCCCTCCCAGGAGTGTTCTGTACGCACGGCAGCCATGCACACTTCACACACGCTCTCAGAGCCAGAACCCTGTGACACCATTTGACTGCAGACTTCATAGCAGCCCTCACTGAGTGCCCTACTTCACGCTGGGACAGTGCTGAACTGTTGAACCGAACAGTGACACACACAACCAGGCATGGAGTTAAAAAGTTATTTATTGGAGGAAGAGCATGGAATATTACTTGATTCCTCCCCAAACCTCTCTTCAGATGAACCCTGAGCAACTGGAAGGAAGTCCAGCTCCCCCAGTCAGAATTTCTGCCTTATTCACAGGCTCAGGAGCTCTCCAGAGATATAATTTTAGAAGTGCAAAGAGGAAGGCATCATGACTCAGGATAACAGCATACTAATTGCAAGGTGAATGGGCAAATGGGACTCATAAACAAAGCAGGATGGGGGCTCAGCATCTGGTGCTCGGCTCCTCCAGGGCTGGGCTGTGGACCACGTTACTTCTGCTTGGTCTTCTGCTGGGCCGGTGCTGGAGTGACCATTGAGGGGCAGGGTTCTGGCACCTTGGGGTGGCAGGGCTCAGGCACCTTGGGGTGGCAGGGCTCTGGCATCTTGGGGTGGCAAGGCTCAGGGACCTTGGGGTGGCAGGGCTCAGGCACCTTGGGGTGGCAGGGCTCTGGCATCTTGGGGTGGCAGGGCTCCTGGGGTGGAGGCTGGCAAGGCTGTTTCACCTGCTGCTGCTGAAGCTGAGGGGGTGGGGTGCAGGGCTGCTTCTGCTGCTGGGAACTCATGCTTCGATGTGAATGGTTCTAGAGACAAAAAAGCTGACTCAGTGATTCAGTAATCAGGGAAGAAGCCAAGTTTAATGCCAAATAGATTTAATGTCTGGCCATTCTTAAAAGAGAATATTTTTCTTTTCTCTGTCCCGCTACATTTGAAAGTAGAATACTTATTCATAGTTTCTCCCCTCTCTGGGGAAGGAGGGTCCTTACCCAGAAATCAAGAGGAGAAACTTAAAGGTAGCTTGTTTTCCTCCATTCCAGTGGGGCTTTTTCCTTGGCTTCCTTTTGCCCCCAGACATCTTATATCCCTTATAAGAAAGTTCCCCAGGACAGCTGGCTTCTGGGAGGGACACAAGGCTCATGTGTTAGGCCTTTCGCAGTCTACTCACTCCAAAGACCTCTCCGGGCGCCTGGTGACCTGCGAGTTGGCTCTACATTGCCCCTGTGATTCTGCTCCAGTCTTGGATCACACAGTGCCCTCTGAATGCTGTTTCTCCCATCTCTGCTGTCTAAACACTCCTCTCTCATAGCATGTCCCCTGCCCCCACTAAGAGACTCTTCTTGAGCAGTGTTTCCCCAAACTGCCCAGCTCTTTGCTGTCCCTCCCTCCCCTTAGCCCTTCTTCTCCTGCCAATCACTATCTGCTTCAGGTCCATCTGTCACCTTCCCTGCTAGGTTGCAACATTGCTGGGTAGTTTTCCTGTTGGTTTGGCTTCCCAAGGTGCCTGGCCTGCTGCCTTAAGTGTGAGCAGTATTGGGTAACAGTTCTGTCTAAGGGACAGAAATTTCTGTGTCACATCAGAGGATCTGATGGTGTTGCTGAGGGTGCTGTGGGCTTGGGCCTGCCCTGCTTTGAGCTCCCTGTGGACCCCTGAATGTCTCTTGCCCCTGCCCAGCTCCAGTCTAGTGGTTTTCCACTGAGGGGACAGACCCATCTCCAAGGTTCCTTCAAACCCAAACTGTGCTTTTCCCTAAAGACTTCCCACTGCATTTGTCTCTAACTGATACCCTGCACAACCCTTTTATACATGCTTCCAATAATGAGGAAATAAATTAGAATCCCAAACTGGTTGCAATGAGGGACTCACCTGGCACACAGAAGATGGGTTGTCTGGTCGCTTGGGTCTGGTGTGAAGACAGTGGCCAGCTGGCTTTTATAAGAGAATGGGCCCTGCCTCAAGGAAATAGCATCACCCAGGCTCTCTGTTTTCATTTCTCACCTGTCACCCCTGAGTCACACCCTGCCGCCCATTGCCCGTTGGCTCAGCTTTTGTGATGAAAACCACCCACCTGATGTTTTTTGGCACTTGCTGGCTGACAGTGATGTCACCTGGGCCTAATCTTCACTGCCAGCTTCCCGTTCAGACCCAGGTACAGGGCTTGCGTTGGGGAGGGTGCTAGTCAGGCTTCCCGGCAGGCTTCCCGGAGGGTTAGTGAGTTGGCCCTGGAGCCATCAGAGTCCTGTGGGGCCTTGTCACCTTCTGTCTTTGACACTGAGGGCTGTCCCCATTCTGTGGGACAGAATGCTCTGGCACATGAACAGCTGGGAAGAGAAGGGGAGCGGCCAAGCCCATCTGCACATTTCCTGTCCTCTTTAGCCAAGGTGGAAACTGTGGATAACGGAATTGGCTGAGCCTAGACTCCTTGTCTGGGGGTCCGAGAACCTCCCACTCATTCCCCCATGTTTCTCCCATCTCCATTGAACCACATATGTTATGAATAATTTACTGCACTTACACCCCCTCCGTCCCACTCCTCCATGACTGGCTGCTAATCTGGAAAATCCTGCTTTGCTTTCACCAACCACACCCTTACCCCTCTCCTATTTCAGGGGCTTTCAAGGACTAATCCTTTCCTGGGATAACCTTTTCCCTCCACTCCACCCAGCCATCTAGCTGTGTTCCTGTCCTCCTATTTAATAGAGTTAATTGCCCTCCCTGCTAAAAACCCCATGAAAACTGGAAGCCTTACCTAACTAGCCCTTCAGCTTGCCAGCCCCTGGGATCTTCCCCCAACACCTGCGGATCCCTCATCTGCTCCTCTGGTTTTGCTCCTCTGTCTGGCTCTGCGTCTCTTGGGAGCATTCTGAAGGTCAGAGCCATGCTTGCTCAAATCAACAGTGTTAATGCTGTAATGTTAATCTGAACAAGTAGATGGAGGCATCTGAGAAGCTCTGTGAGGAGGAAGCCCACTGTCCTGACAGATATAGAATTACCCCCAGCTCAGAGCCCCTGAGATTCAGGATCTTGGACAGGCTTTAGTCCACGTTCCTCCAGGGATGATTTGAAATCTGAATTAAGGCACCCAAGGTCAGTCAATCCTGGAGGAAAATAATGCCACCCCCCAAATCCCATGTTCTCCTTTGTTTTGCTCTAATGTACTTGGAGGAAATTAAGCCCAGGTAGGAAGATGGTGGAAGGCAGAGAAGGGAGTGCAGCCTTCCTGGCCATGCTGGGCCCACTCGTGCTCTGGGGATGCCTTCCCAGCCATGCTGGGCCCACTCATGCTCTAGGGAGGCCTTCCTGGCAATGCTGGACCCACTCGTGCTCTGGGGAGGC